CAGATGTGCTCCACATGTCTGCAAATAAAACACAAACTCGGAAAGACCAAAGAAAAAAGAAAAAAAACGCACCCAGTCGCGCCCTTGGAAAATTTGAAAAACAAAATCTGCCCCAGACACCAGTTACCCCAAGCAACAAGATATTTCACAAACATGAAACAGGAAGCTGATTATTTGGGGGGGAATTCCACGCTTTGAAAATTTGAGGACAATTTGGGGGGATTTCACATTAAATATGGGATGGTTTTATTTTGAAAATTCAGGGCCCGTGGGTGAACATGACTGCACCGCAAAGTTGTGAAGAAGCCATGGTTGACCTTGAACAGGAAGTTCACCATTTGGGGCCAGATTCCAAGGGCTTCAAAATTCGATACTTATTTACCATCAAAGATTGAGAATTTGTAAAAAAAAATTCGTTTCATCGATGGACACCAAATTGGCCGGTCCATCGTCATAGACAATTCCAAACAGTAGCAGGCCGTTGAATTTCCGTACCGGGATTTGGACACTATCTGATCCGAAAAGGATGCACAAAAAAAGTCTCAGGACCCATGTCTGATTTCACACAGGAAGTCGATCATTTGAGAGGATTTCCTAAGTTCCAAAGTTTGATCATCATTTGGAGGATTTGCTATGAAAAACGTGGCAAATTTGGGGAAAATCCGGATCCTGCCTAAACAAACAAACAAACAAACAAACACACAGCCAGACAGCATTGCCCAGCAAGGCGGGTTGACTTTGGAACAGGGAACTGGGTGGAATTGTTTGTCATGGCAGGACCCACAAAAAAAGCCTCAAGGAGCCATGCCCGAGCATGAAGTCAAACATTTTGAAGTCATACATTTTGACAGTCTAACAAGTCAATACGTGAGAGCACACACACACACACACACAAAAGCACGCAAGAACCTGGCACCGATTAAGATGTTTTCTTTTTTTTTTTCCTTCCAAGTAATCAAAAAGCCCCCCCGTGGCCTCATCAGGCGCAATTTGTGTGTTCCTTCCTGCATTTGCGCTGGAAGGTCTGGCGCAAGTCACCGTTACTTCAGCGTTCTTGTTTTCTTGTTAGTTTGTCGGCAAACGAGCGCGCGTGTTTGTCTCAAGGCCTTTTATGTCGTCGTCGTCGTAAATTGTTTCCATGCGAGCTGCCGACGTCTGTTAAGACGGCAAAAACCGCAAATCCCGCAGCCGGCTTTGAATGACATCTGGTTGCTCGTCGGGATTATCCAAAGTCATTGTGTACGTTGATTTTATGAACCTTTGATAGCGCTCGTGGCCTGAACCACCCCCCCCCCCTCCAAATTGCCTCAGAAAGTCGGCCTCAGAAGCCCGTTGAACTTCGCCACGGGAAATTTGTTCGCCACGTCTCTCGTCATGTAACCCACAGAAAAAGCCTCAAGGAGCCATGCCCGAAAAGATGCCAGGAGGCGGACGTTTTGGTTGCAGCTGGCCATTTCTGGCCCCCCCCCAGATTTTTGTCCCATCAGAAATGCCACACTTACGCCTTCTTGCCACAGATGGCGCCTTTGTACCAGTTCCTGCAAGTGCTGAAGTATTTCTTCTTGGTGCCCAGAACCTGCTGCAGGGCGCACACGTTGGGCCTAAGAGGGGATTGGGGGGGTGGGGAACCAAGGAAAGGGGGCAGAAAAGGTGGAAGTTGTTGAGTGATGGGATGGCCGGCAGACAGAAAGCAAACGCTCCAAAGTTTCATTTGGTCTCATTGGTGTCAAGTTTTCGGCGGACATCAATTCGCAGCGTCTCCTCTTGACCGCATCAAAAATGTTTTGACAGTTGAAACACGTTCAAAGCCTTGTTTTTTTTTTTTCTGTCCACTTCAAGGAAGGAACGCCTGTCAAAAATGACAGTTTGTCAATTCACATGATTCTTTTGGAATTTTTTTTTTTTAATAAATAAAATGGAATTGAGTCAAATCAAGATAACTACTATTTTCTCAAGTAACTTTTTTCTCAAAAAAAAAAAGTCCAAAGATCAGCACTACGATTCACAAAAAGATCAAAATGTTTTGCCTCAAAAATGTTGAGCTTTTCTTTTGCATGACTACATGATATTTCTTTTCTTCAAATATTCCACTTTGGCGGAAAAAGGCCCAACTTATTTTGTTTTTCCTCAAATCTGCAACTTCTTTCCTCACATGCACGCTCTGTCATCTTAAAAATGGGAAACTTATTTTGCTCTTAAAAGTGTGCATCCTATTCTCGACAATAAAATATAATCCTAAACGATATGATACATTTTTTAATGAACATTTTTCATCAAAAACACAACTTTTTTCTTTCCCCCGTCTGTTCTTCTTTGGTTAAAAATAAAATCTTGTAAACAGAATCCTTTTTTTCCTCATATGACATTGTTTTTTTTAGAATGATAACAATCATAAGCAGAAGGATAATAATAAGCGTTTTCTCTCGGTTCATTTTTGATGATAGATTTCCTTTTTTTCTTGAAAACAGAAACCCCCCCCCCCCCCTCTGTCAAATCATCAAGAAAGATCTTTGGGTCCTTACCCTTCGCTCCTGGCCCTGATGCGGCTGTGGCTGACAATCTTGTCGTAGGCCGACGCGTCCACGCGGGCCAGCGAGCAGAGCGCCGCCAGCAGCAAGGCGGCCGTCGTCACCGCATGCATCCCGGGAGCCGTCATGACTCTCTTCAAGCCTGAAACGCGGCCCGCTTGTTGAGATGTGTGAGGGCCGGTGGGCCAGGCGCCTCTTTTATCCCAACATCCAGGGCCGAACCCCCACCCCCCTGCCAGCTCCCAGCCAAGATCAGCACAGGCGGGCAGTGGCCCCTCCCCACCGAGTTGACACCTCCATCCCATCCCGGAGCGCCCGGGACACCCTCGCCTGTTCCATTGACATGTTGACAGATGCGTACGGCGATGTCATCATGATGTTCCAATGCATTCGGGGCAAAGGTCGCGGTGGCCCCGGGGGACTGAGACGTCTTTCATATCCAGTGCATGGCTTTCATTTTTTTTTTCCATCAGTCCGCGTCCAGAAGCGGGACTCAAAATCCCACCTTTGAATTCTGCCTCGTAACGAGTGAGCTCATGATGCATGAGTGGGGTGGGGCGGGGCGGGGGACAAGTGCTCCCGCTGGCCTCCTAAAGGAATTATTCTTTGTTTTAGTTACTATCCATTCTGCGCAAACTGCATTCTTTGTATTTCTCGGATTCAATTTACAGTGTGCACAAAACACGATCACTTTCTCGAAGTTACTCGATGATTAAATAGGACTACTCATTGAGTGCTGCTGACTAAACACTGGCGAGTGCGAGTAAAGTGAATAAATGCACTGGAAGGTGTTGGCGCTTGAGTGCCTTCCAGCAGCAGCTGATCATCTGCTCATTACTTGCACTTTATGACTTGGATCCTTCATTTTTGCACTTTTATGACTTCAAGAATAAAATCTAGCATAAAAACGTGCTTAACCCTCTGCCCCAGCATAATCCTTTTTTTCTTTTTTGGGGTGGGGGGCGTGAATAGCCTTTGTAGCGCAGTCAATCAAAATGGAGATTTTTTTTTTTGACGGGCATCATCACATTGCGGATGAAAATGAAATGATTTGGTGTTGCGAATGAAATGACTTACCGATCAACTGTTGCGTGGGCATTCTGCGATGACGTCTCCCTCTAGGGGTCAAAATGTGTCAGTGCAGTGGCCTGGCACGTCCACAAACGAAATCAGAGTCAAGTGGTTTTGGAATGACAAGAGGAGAAAGAAAATCTGAAATGAAAGTTGGACACAGTATTTCCGGGACAAAGTCTTGGAGAGATACAAAATACAACCTGTGTGAGACATTAGATTAGCTCCGTTTCCCTCCAAATATATTGTTTCTCATATTTAGTTTCTCGAATTTAAGAGGATTTTTTTTTCCCAAGAAATAGTGAAAACTTTTTCTGACTTTTTTGCTCTCATAAAGAACTTTTTTTTCTGCAAATACAGTTTGTTATTCAAAACATACAAAGTTTCTTCAAGAAAAACTGATCTACTATTCCATGTTGAAGAGAGCATTAAAGTGGCAAAGGAAATTTAGAATAGATAAAACGCGTGATTAATTGCGATTGAGTTAACTACAACATTTATACATTTAATCGTGATTTTAAAAAAAATGATTGTATATATATATATATATATATATATATATATATATATACACATACATACACATATATATTCCCCCTTCATCAAATTACAGAAAGTAACTTTTTTCCCCTTCAGAAATTTTTTTTTCCCCCAGAAACGTTAAATTTTCACCTTAAAAACCACCTTTTACTCTGAAATATGAAACTTTTATTCATTATGGTTGGTTTGGGTTTTTTTTTTGTTGCATTATTATGTGTAACTTTTATGTATATATTTTTCCCACAACTTTGTTCAGATTTCTTTTTTCAAAAATCTGAAAAAAAATGTCATGGGACATCTGCATGTCAAAAACATATGACTCCTCCTTCAAGCAAGGGGACCTTTTTCCTTGTGAAGTACTGAGATCACGCGTTTGTGATCTGTCATGTGAGACAAATGTGATTTTTTTTCACCCACGTTTATTTTCATGACTTGTCACCGTTTGACAACAATCAACAGGTGAGGAGTCCCAGCAAAAAAGGGAAAGCACCAAGTTGTCGGGAAGGCGCTCCTTCTGCTCGACTTGGCTTGGGAAAGGGCGCCCCTAGTGGTCAGCGTCCAAAGCCCCGCCTCCCATCTTTTGCTTGCATAGAAAAGAACCACGGACAACGACCAGAGGAATCGAGGAATTTAACTCATCCGAGTAAAGTGCACTCAAAAGTTTAAGTAAGGCAAAGACTATTCATGCCGCCACAGGATTCTGCGCAAATAAACACACACAAACACTCTCTCTCTCTCTCTCTCTCTCTCTCTCTCTCTCTCTCTCTCATATACATATTGTCCCACACTCTCAAGACGAGACCGCAGTGCTTGGTGGAAACGAAGCACGACAAACCGCCACCGCATCCTTGAGGCTCCCGCTTCGAGGGGCAAGTCAAAGTTCAGGCCACGCTCTCGTCTTCCTGTTCTGCTACATCCAGACAGGTTGGGCCCTCTTCGTCCTCTTCCGCCTCCTCCGATAGCGGGTACATTTTTCTGGAAAGTTCCGGGGGCCCGGCCTGGCGGGCGCCACGCCATCGGTGGTGGCCGCCCCCGAGGGGATGTCGCTCGCGGAATGCGGCCAAGTCGCCGGCATCGCCGCGACCCGGCAAGGGAGCCGAGCCGTTGGGGAGCCCGTTCGGGGCTTCGGGGGTCCATGCCATGCGCCGGAGGAGGGAGGCGGCCATCTTGAAGCGGTTGGCTTTGCTCTTGGCCGGCGCGCCGGCGGCCATCTTGAAGGGGGCGGACTCGGCCGGGCCGCCGGCGCCGCACTGCAAGATCGGTCGCCCCGCCTTCATCATGCCCATCACCTCGTAGCGGAAGCTGGAGATGTCCTGCTTCAGCTCCTGTCGCAACACAGACGCTCAGTTCGAGCTCACAGGTGATTCCTTTTCAGGCTTTTCTGTGGCCGTCACACTCTGTCCATGTCTATTTTTCAAGCTTTTTTTTTTTTTTTTTTCATACTACAGTGTGTCCTTCAAATCTGGCTACAGGGGGCCTCACCTTAAAGTTGTCTTCCGTCAGGCCTTCCTCCGTCTTGGCGTCTCGGATCATGGCGGCCACGTAGCGCTTCACCAGGTTCCGCAGCACCTCCTGCGCGCACGTGTCCGACCAAGAGGCCATCAGCACCTCGTCAACTCGCCGCCCGTCTCCGCGGAGACGTCACGGCCCGTTAAGTGGGAGAGAAATGGCGAGCGGCAAAGAAAAAGAAGATGGCCCCCCCCCCCCCACACACACACAGAGGCGCACAAATAGAACTGTACACCCCACTGAGTGGCGCTATGACTCATCTCTAATGTCTTCCAGCAGCAGATGGAAAGGCACTGATATAGACACACGCATGCAGACACACCAAAGGGGCGGGGCTTACCTGGTACTGATGATTTATTCTCAGGTTCTCCGCAGCTCGCCTCTGCACGGGAGACAAACACACGTGCTCTTTAGACGACGGCAAGAGCGCCGGTCCTCGAGATCCCTTCCGCAGGTCATTTTAGACGTTTCCCTCCTCCGGCGCACCCGATTGGCACGATCGGCTCATCAGCAAGCTCTGAGAAGCCTGATGACGATCCTGATGTGGTTTGAAGGAGAGGTTGGAAAGGGGGGTCTCGAGGACCGGACTTTGGCAGCCGACTTTGAAATCCAAAGCCTGCTCGGAAACCCTCCCGACTATTTCTGAACCAAGCAGTGGGATTCTTTCTTCCAAGCCAACAACAACAACAACAAGCCCGAAGAAAGCGACGAGTCCCCGAGCGGCTCCTCACCCCGAGCGTGCCGACGGTGTCGCGCCGGGCGCGGCCGTCGCCCCGGCACACTCGTGTCCTCAGCCAGCGGACCAGGTACCAGACGGACTTGGGGCTGGGGACGACGTTGAAGGGCGGCGGCAGGGTGGCCCCCTCCTCAAAGTAGCTCATCCACAACTTCGTGCGGGCGAACTTCCACTCGATGTCGGCGTGGTCCTGAGCGAAAGGGACGCGGCGGTGGGTTAGCGCCGCGGCCCGCGCGAGGCTTCGGCGCTTGCCGCGCTTCCTCACCGCGATGTGCTGGTAGGAGTTGTTCATCATGGCGATGAGCATGTTGAGCAGCACCACCAGCGAGATGATGTTGTACGTGCCGAACATGGTGGCGCCCACAAACTCGGTGAACTGGTGGTCGGCGTCCACGTTGGTCACGTACAAGCTGATCAGGCCGAAGATGGACCAGAACAGCGACTGCAGGGTCTCGAACAGCCTGCGCGAGAGGTTGGAGGAGAGGACCGCGGGGGGCGGTTGTCGATGAAATCAGCGGGTTACGGCGGCTTGCGTCGCGAGGTTCTAATTTGGGATTATGACATTGACGGACGCGACATCGACGACGAAATCACGTGATCGGCTTGAGTTTTTGATGTCCCGAGATGATGAGGCGATTGGGCGGGAGGACACCCAAGCAGCCCGAGACTCGGGACTCACGTGGAGAAAGCGTTATTCTGTTCCACACAGCGGATGCCCTTACACTTGGCCCGCTCATCCGAGGCTTTGGTTTCGTAGTAGAAGTACAGCTGGTTCAGCCCGTTGGCGAAAGCCAGCAAAACCTGCGCACGCAGGGGGGCGGGAGAGAGATTTTGCAACTCAAAGCGTCTCCCCTCATCTCTCAACCCGTGCGGCGGGGCTACCAGGCAGTAGATGAAGAGGAACTTGAGGATGTCCAGCAGCATGCGGCCCAGGGAGATCTGCAGCGGTCCCAGGTGGGAGTTGGCCGTGAAGAGCGAGATGAGACGCAGGGAGCTGAAGATGTTGGCGATGGCGAACACCGCCTCGGCCACCAGAGTCGGGTGCCACATCTCCCACTGGTTCCTCGGCTTACTGCCGCCGTACTGCAACGACCGCGGCCGAGACGCAGACGAACGAGGGGGTGAGCGCGGCGCGGGTGACCCCCGTCCGCCGCAGAGCCGCGCCGGCGGGTACCTTGGCGTAGGCCACCATTTTCAGGGAGATGGTGGCCAGGTAGAGAGAGTTCATGACAAAGTCCATCAGGTTCCACCAGTCGTGGACGTAGTCCTGGAAACCTCCGTCCCACATCTGCTTGACCTCGGCCCAGATGAAGCCTGCAAACACGCACACAAGGTCGGACGTGAGCTCGGCGGCCGGTTGACGTGATCCGATGGGGGGTTCTTGTTCAGACGGGTTCCGGGTTCGAGGACGTGAGAGGATGAGGTTCCCGTGCGGGATTCCGCGAGGTCATGAGGCGGCCCCCGACCTTCCTGCCGACTCACCCAGCACCCAGGGCAGGATCATCCACTCCACGGTGGTGGGCGCCGGACCCTGGCGGTCCTGCTCGGTGGTGACGACGTGCTGCGACGCGAGCAGCAGCAGGAAGAGGAAGGTGAGGTAGGAGGCCGTGTGGCAGATGAACTTGATGAAGGGCTTGCGGATGAACAGCCCGTAGCGGCTCTTGGGGGCCACCAGGTAGCACAGGGCGAACGCCGGGTACAGCAGCCCGATGAAGACGCACGTCAGGAACTTGCCGGCCCAGTGGCGCCGCCTCCAGCCTGGGAACTCGTCGTACCAGCGCGACGCCAACAGCTGCTGGCAGTTGGGCTGCGCTACAAACTGAAAACACCAAAGATCAGGACGAGGGCCCCCCCGACGTGCCCTTTGCTGACCCCGACGGGGCCGGAGAGGAGCGGCATGGCCCGCCGTGCCGTCAGACGAGTCGAGCCAGAGCAACGGAGCGATCCTTTTTGCGGCGGATCTGCTGAAAACAGCTTGCCGTTTACTGCCCCCTCCAGGACTGGAGTGGAATAGCAGGGCTCGGCACAATGAGATTTTTCTCCAGTTTGGGGTCTTTTGGTGTCTTTTTTTCTGTGCGGTTGCGGTTCACTCGCGGCGGGGCCAGATGGTGCCGATCCGGCGGTGGCGATAAAACCCAGATCTTTCCAGGGTGGCGCGTCGCCATTTTTAAAATCAAAGACGGCCACGTTTCAGATCGCGTGGGCCTTTGGCGGAGGTCCGCTCCTGACCGAGCGACATCCCGCTTTGAGGTGGCCCACGGCTGTGATCAACGCACACAGAAAGAAACACACGCAATGTGACGTCGAGTCGCAAGATCAGAGCCGCCAAGCGTCGACCCGCATTGTCGGGTGCCAACTCTGCAGCCCGGTTACCATGGCAACAAGGGCTCCTAAATTGAGTGTGTGTGTGTGTGTGTGAGCGGCAGTGGAGTGACTCACATTTCGAGATGTAAAAAATGTCAAAAGAACACAAAAGTCGAGAAGTGAAAAGCAAAGCCCAAAATGTCTCCGGCTCTGAAACACGGCCGCCATCGAGCGAGTCAGAGCAGATTTTGATGAAATGGAGCCAATACGGCGCGGCTTCTTCTACGAGGTGAGGACATCGAAAAGTAGGACGACCTGTCAAGACCTGTCCGGATCCTTTGAGCGCACGAGGTGATCCGGTTCCAACGTGGGAGGTTATAAGAGCGGGCAGTCAACTCATTCACTGGCGCGGACGTTTCCGTCCACTCTAGTCCAGCCTTTCCGTGGCCGACTTAAAAGAGGAGGAAATGAGCAGTCGGCGTGCAATTTCGCTCGCTTTCCTGGAAGAAGTCACCAAGGCGGACAAACACGAGAGGCTTCCCGACAAATGAATCGTTCCTCTACGCTCGGGTTCACTTTTTTCCGAACGTGCTTCAAAGCCAACGAAGCGCGGCTCCCCGGGGGCTATTCCGCCGAAACGGACGGCGGTGAAATTAGGAGCGGAACCTCGGAAGAAAAGAGAAGCCGAAGCCGCTTGCAATTTGTCTGCGTGTGACGGCGCGCTCGCCGGGTGTGACGGAAGCGGCGAACGATGAGATGAGCGTTAAAAGCGCAGATTAGCTCCCGCCTGCTCGCCCGGGGGTTTGGGGGGGGGGGGGCCCGCAAAAAAAAAGGGGGGGCTCGCTGGGATTCACTTTCATTTGCACTTGATCAAGTGCGGATGTGAGCCGGTGGCACAAAGCACTTCTCACTGCGGCGAAGGTGCGTCCGAGCGAAAGCGCCGCTTTTTGCTTCAACTTGACTCACTCTGCGTCGACTTCCTGTTTCGTGTCCAGCCCAGATCGGCGATCTTCACTCCAATCCCGTGACGCCATTTGCAGTATGAACACTTTTGACGACGGACCGCCGCCTTCTCGGAACCTTGACTCGCTTTGCCTCGTGCGTTTCGGCAGCCAAGATCAACGCGATGGATGCCTCGCACTTAGCCGACATTTGAGTGTTTTCCAGAAGGTCATAAAGCATCTCCTCGTGACTCAGGTTGACATTTTTCTTCCGGCCGGGCCCCGAGCGTTGCGCGGGGAGGAGGGGGAAAGAGCTCGTAGCATAGACGGGATGCGGCCTGAGAAAGGAGCCCCAAAGGGGTTTCGTTTCCCGCTCGGGGAGTCCCAGTTGATTTGCCCTCGAGCAAAGCCCAAAACGCGCCTCTCGCAAGCGCATGGAGGGCTGCCAAAATCCCGATGATGACGTGATGAAGAACTGAGGTGATGCGGTGATGTCATGAGGCTCTGAGCGCACGCATTTGCGGGGAGCTCATGGCGAACCCGCGAGTTTAGGAGGGGAATGACGACGCCGGCACGAGAGGGGAGAAGGTGACGACGTCACGAGCTAAGCGGTCGCCGGCGCGACGAGGTTACGAGACGACGTGCCGATGACGTCGGGAGCGGGGTAGGACGTGTCCCGCGGTAGCGTCCAAGCCGATGACGACTCGACGGGACGAGGTTGTGAACGCTACCCGGCGTGACGGCTACCTCTTTTTGGTGGTACTTGATGGCCAACTTGAGTCTGGCCAGGTCTCCGTTGCCCTCCTCCTCCAGGAGGTTGACGTCATCTCTGTAGTTGAGGATCATCTCCAGTTCTCTGGAGCTTCTGGTCTGGTCCAGCAGGTCTTTGGCAAACTCCTTACACTGCTGAGACAGCTCCTCGTATTCCGATTTGAACTCGTTCTCCACCTGCAAGCGGAGCAGTCCGGCACCCGGGACGTGCCTGTTGAACCCCTTCGGACAAAAGTAGCGCTTTGCTGGCAGGCGGCGGCGGCGGCGCTGACCTTGCTGAGCTCCTGCAGCTCCCAGCTGAGCCTGAAGGCGGTGAGGAAGGGGTCCTCGCTGGACAGCGCGATGAGCGACGGGCTGGACAGCGCCTTGTAGATGTTGAGGCGCGAGCGCGAGTGGCGCAGGCTGTCCACGTCCGAGCTGGACACGCACTCCACGCAGTTGCAGCGGACCTGCCGCGCGCACGCACACGCGCACACACACGCACCCACACACACGTGCTCAACTCGGCAGTGAAGGATTGGCCCTCCCCTGAGCTCCTCCTACTTTATGGACCTTCCAATCGGCCTCCTGCGGCCAATTGCTGCCAATTAGCTACAACAGCGATGTCTCGGGGCCGGCGGGGGTGAGGGGGGGGGCTCACCTCGTGTGGCTGCGGCATGGTCACGCCCTTCTGCACCAGGAGCTTGACGATCTCGTAGTTGTTGGTGTGCGCCGCCAGGATGATGGGCGTGATGTCCGGCGTGAAGTCCGAGAACTGCTTGTCCAATAGGATGGGAGGGACCTGGCGGGGAGGGGGCGCAACGCGACGCCTCGTTAGCAACGCGGGCGGCCTTCGCTCGGGGAGGCTCTGCAAAATTCAAACCCCCAAAGCCCATTTCCCTTTCGCGACGTGAAATCGGGAGCGGTCTCAATTCAGCCACGCCCAAAAAGGAAATCGCCAGCGGGCTTTCTTTTTTCCGTTTTGGAAACCTCCTGAATATCCTTCCAAGTTCCGCCCCTGAAGTGGGGTCCCGTGGAAATGGCTCACCTGCATGCCGCCGCTGGGCTTCTTGTGGTTGAGCAGCAGCTCAACGGCACCCACCACCTCCTTGCGGATGGCGTGCAGCAGGGCGTCTCCCACGTAAACGCCGAAGCTCAGCAGCAGCTCGATGATCTCCAGGTTCTCGTTCTCGATGGCGATGAGCAGCGCCGTGCGGCCCAGCGGGTCGATGCAGTCGATGTTGATCTTGAAGTAGATCTCGGCCTCCTGCGAGGCAAAAAGCCAAAGCTTGCTAGGCCTGTTTTGATTGCGGACGTACATGCGGGAGACCGTTACAACTCCTCGGCAAGCCGCGGGGAGAAAGAATATCCGCCTTCGAGTCTGCCCGTCTGTCTTTCCGCATCGCTTGTGTTCAAACGGCGCTTGATGCTAGCTTGTTGATGGCGTTATATAGCTTGTTAGCATGACGCTAAACTGACTTTTTTTCAATTCTCTTTTTTTTCCATGTCATTATACGGCTTCGGGACTGTTTTTGGTTTCTGAGCTGAGGTCACTGCCACGGATGTCTTTTTTTTTTTTTAATTGATCAAATGACACCTCATACCTTGAAAAACTCCCTTTACTCGTACCATAAACGCACCACTGCGCTTGTGTGTACATTTTTGGTACCTGTGCCTCCTAGAAGGATTTATTCAGAACGTTCTTTGGGTCCTGCAGCAAAAATGCGCAGGTCCTCAAAAGTTCCCAGCATCGCCAACGTGGCTCACCTGCAGGGCCTGCTTGACGCTGGCGTAGTCGCCCTTCTCCACGGCGCCCAGGTAGGCCTTCTCCAACGCCGACAGCTCCGACTCGGCCCGCACGATCCTCAGGGGGATGCGGTCGCGGTACGACGAGCTGTCCGAGCGCCGGTAGTACAGCTGGGACATGGCCCCGCCTCGCGCTAACGGACGCTAACAGACGCTGCCGGGCATGAAGGTGTCGTCCTGAAGCCAGAAGGGGACACAAATTCAAAAATAAAAATAAAAAAATGTTTGATTGACAGCGCTGCGATTGGCTCGCAACCAGTTGAGGGTGGACCCAGCCGGTTGCCCGAAGGCGGCTGGGATAGGCTCCGGCATGCCCCGCCCCCCCTTGTGAGGATGAGCGGATCAGAAGATGGATGGATGGATGATGATTGACAGTGTGAGTGGTTGCCTAGCAACCATTCTCATCAACCGTTCAACAGCAGCCCTGTGTGCACCGAAAAGAAACTGGAAAATAAGCAAGATAGGCTCCGGCACGCCCCGCCACCCTTGTGAGGATGAGCGGATCAGAAGGTGGATGGATGATTGACAGCGTTAGAGGTTGCCTAGCAACCGTTCAACAATAGCCCCTGTGTGCACCGAAAAGAAACTGGAAAATAAGCAAAAAGTTCCTCGAACTGTCCAAAAGAAGACTAATCCCCTCCCACAAGTCACCTGGTGCAGTGCAGGCAGGGAACAAACTTCCAAAATAAAGAATCAAACTGAGAGGAACTGTCCAAAAGAAGAGTAAAGCACCCCCCCATGAGTCACCTGGTGCAGTGCAGGCGGGGAACAAACTTCCAAAATAAAGAATCAAACTGAGACAATGCATGTTGGATTGTTAGAGTCTCACGTGTTGGACGCTTGCAGTAGGAAGCCATCGAGATGAAGGCTAAGTGCCGTAATCCTTTTTGGTTCGGTCTCAACGAAGCTAATTACAATTAGCGACGCTAGTAACGACATTAGCCGGAGCCGCTGGCGGCCCCGGGGCCAGAGCTGATTGACAGGCAGGGCCAACCTTGTCCGAAAGTAAACACCATTAGCTTGCTAATTGATTGACAGCGCCTGAGGTTGCCTGGAGACCGCAGCTGAGAAACCAAGATGCTTCCAGCACTTGTTTACATTTTTTTTTTTGCCCTCCTCGGTGGCAAAGTGTCCTAACAAGGAAACGTCTCCGAGGGCGACAAAGTGAGCAATAAAGTCAAGTCATTAATGCATTGCGGGCACCTTAAAAGGCAACAAAAGCGTCACAGTCTTGTTTCGGTGAGGCCTCCAGTATTTGAAACAGGTTCTGTCCCGATGTAAACGGATCTTTGCCAAAACGCAATCAATCCATTTTTTTTTTTTTTTTAGTTGTTGAGTTGGCATAGCTGTAAAATCCCCAAAAGTTGCAGCTCTCCATGGATGAAATAAGACTTCAAACAAGCCGTTTGATCCAGATCTGATCCAGATTGGAACATTAATGGACAGTGTAAACAGTACCATGCATTCCAATTGAACATCAATGACCTTTTCTCCCATAGCATAATCACATGAATGTACTTATGGGACACACGCACGCACGTGTATGTGTAATGAAGCCGCATATGAGCACAGCATCTGCATTGTTTCATCCTGCAGCCCCCATCCATCCCTTTGGTATCAAGGGCTAGTGCGGAAAAAATAATAACGACACTTTACTGGGCTCAGAGTGGGATTATACCAACACACACACACACACACAGCTGCTGCAGTGCTTGGGGGAAGACACGCAAGAACTAAAAACGCCAATTAGCATTGGTCAAAGTTACACCGTGCATGTCTCTGTGCGTGAATGTGCACGTGTGTCACATGGTCCATGCACATTTTTTTTTTCGTGGCACATGGCACCGGGAGAGTAAATTCTCCATAATCATGACAACGAGAAAAAGGAGAGGCGAGGGTGATGAGAAGGAGGAGGAGGGGGAAAAAAAAAAAGAGCACCCACCTGAGTGATGTTGCACATGGGAACTTCGTGCGGGCAGCAATTCAGCCGGTCGCTTTTTTTAATGATCTCCACAGGGGGACGTTTTTGATGCGGGATCCCTCACGCCCACACATCCCTCCACCTCCTCCTCCTCCTTTTCAGCATTATCATGACCGTCGTCCTCATGCCCGCGACACTTGGAAGCGAGTCGCAAGGCCAGCGGAACGCCGCGCTCGATCGCAACTCGCTCGCAGACGACTTTGAATTTGGGAGCGCTGGAGAGACGCAGTGAAATGAAGAAAGACAGAGAGAGAGAGCGAGAGAGAGAGAGAGAGACGCAGTCCCCTCACCGCAGTTCAAAGTGCGCCTGTCGCCCGTGTGCGCGCTCCCGCTTGCGGCCACCTGTTGGCAGGAAGAAGAAGAAGAAGAAGAAGATGATGATGATGGAAAAGGGAGCACAAGAAGAATGAGAAGGCTGAAAAAGTCCGAGCGCGGGGAAATCTCCCTCATTTTTCATCCAAAAATCGACGGAAATGAAATGAGCGGGTTTTCGCCAAAGGGGCCCAGAAAAAGCAAACATTTTTTTTAAATCAAGAAAAAATATGCAACACGATGAGAAGAGAGCGAGAAGAAAGAAACTGGTTTCTGAGGTCTGTTATAGTGTTGCATTTGTTTGCTGGATGTGCCCGTTTAATGGGCGGGGCCTTGTGAAGTGACATCATTGTCGGGAATCAGATCGGTTGACTAGCCCGTGCCATTCCACGTTTCAAAAAAAAAAAAAAAACCTGAAACATTGGCTAAAAGTACATCAGACATGCACCCACTAAACAGCGTTTCCAGACGGCAGTCCGTTCCAGTGGGCGTCTGGCCAAGCAATTTGTAGTTCCAAGTGATTTGTCTGTCCTGGTCTTTTGTCTTGGAATTGAGTACTGCAACCGTTTGTCTTGTTTCTTTCACGACCTCTTTGGTTTTTATTTCTGTCATTGTGGTCTTCAACTTTGATGTGTCTCACTATGCTAATTTAGAAAGCTGCCTTGGGACTGCGGCTGAAAACTAGCATTCATGCTAAGTGCGGCGCATTTACGCTGTTTATTCTTGCGTTGATTCATGTGCACCGTCCCGACGAAATAAATAAATGAAGAAAGGTGGAAATGACATGAACAAGTGACCCTGAGCAAATGAAAAAAAAAAATCTTGTCCTTTCTGCCACTGCGTCCTGTCCCCATCATCCGGCGACGGCAAATGTCTCGCTCATTTGCCATCGCCAATTCATTTTGGCGCCACCTTGGCTGTCGCCTGCCCCGTTTACAATCCGCAGGCCAGGCCTGAGGAGGAGAGTGTTTGTGTGGGAGGAATGTAGGTCAGGATGGAAGCTCTCTTCTCGATAAACACTGCGAGATCAGCGCTTGTTGGAGGGTTTGCTGCCTTTTTGTGGGAAATTGTCAAACTTTGCTGACAAGCACCACCCACACTGAGCAGTTACAGTACAAGGAGGGTGAGTCAAGTCAAATGGATCCCCGAGACTTTTTTTGGGGCTGGGCAGCCTTGACCTACTGAAAAACACAGGACCGAGCATCGATCCCTGCGGGACACCGGAGATGACATCGCAATGCTCAAAGGCCACATTGCTATGAATCACACGGCATGTCCTCCGAGCAGAGAAATCATTTCTAAACCAGCACGGTGCCAAGCCATTACAACCGCTCCACATGGACATGACCATCCACGGAATCAAAGGTGACGTCATGAGGTCAAGTGTCCATAGCTCATCAAAAGATCTTTAGACACTTTCGCGAGGGCCGTCTCAGTCGAGTGAGCCACACTCAATCCGCCTTAAAAATCGATGCAAAAGATGGCCCGAAGGCTTTTTGGAGTAGACCACAAAAAGGTGATTGAGTAAAAAAAAACAAGCGTGCGATTTCAGTGAGGCTCGAGGGGCCCTGAACACAAATGCGGCGGATGAGACTCCAAAAGCCGAGTCGTCGTCTCCGTTGCGGACCCGACCCCAATCCGTCTACGCCTTTCGATGCCGACAGTCATTCGGGATGACCCGTCAGTGCATCACGATGAGAAACCGCTAAAACTCATACACGCCGAGATCAATCAGGGGCGCCGTCGGAGTGGGTAAAAGACGCAGGGGGGGGGGAGGAGGAGGGGACAAAATGAATCATGTGGCAAAGAGTCATTTGTGAAGAGTGCGGCCCTGGCGGCTGTTGGCAGTGAATCACGCGCATGATAATCAATAGCCAATTATGGTCAGCTCGCGTATCAATAAACGGAAGGAGCCGGCAAGAAGCTTTGCCTGAGCTGGCTTTCTCGTGGGAGCTATTTGCAGCACGCCAGTCGTTGTGCGTGTGGTGGGAGAAGAAAAACAAAACAAAACATGATCGATTCTAAAAATAGCCCCGCAGCTAATTCTTCTGCCGTAAAAGGCGAATGATGGTGGCCGACATTGAAACAAGATCCCCATCCGGTAGACATGTCATCAGCGCAACGCCGTCGCTTGTCCCGCTTTTAATGGCCGAGGCGTCTCCTGAGTGCCTCTCAAAGTTGACCTCCGACGAAAGCGGCGCGACTTCCGCGGAAAGGAGGCGGGGGTCGGCCATCTTCCAGGGAAAAGGCACTCAAACAACCGAGTATTTCTGCTGCTAAGTCCAGGGCCGCATCTACTCTGCGAGATAGAGGGCTGTTGCCCCCCTCCCTACTCCCCCCTCCCAAAAAAAAAAAAAAAATCCTCAACTATTGGTTTTTAGAAGGAACTGGGTGGAGGTCCTATTTCCATTCAGGATCTGAATCATTATTCTCGGGTTTCCCCATTTTCTTCCACCAAAACAGCTCGTTCGTGAAAGTTGGCCGTGAGTCATTGAAACACTGAAAGTCAAACTGTAAATACAGTGTCCCCTCGTTTATAACGGGGTTTACGTTGCAAACATTAACTGCGTTCACCCCTTTGAACAGAAAGCTGATGAAATGAACTCCATGACACAAACGATGCGGAATTGCTCTCTTGACCGACTTGAGCGTGTTTCACAATGTTCAAGTGGCCCCTTCATCCTTCCATTTTTTCTCTTGACAGCCGTTCGACGAAAAAGTTTGGACCCCTTTGCTTTACACGGTTCAAGAAGGAATCCAGATACCGAATACGAGAAGTCAACGTGAACAGCAGCGAGAAGCGACAAGTATCAGTCAAAAAGTAGCAGCGAGACTCCAACACAAGCCGGCAAAAAGTTGACACAAGATTGCCTGCCTCAAAAGTACCTCAACTTGCGTTTCAAAGTGCCGGTCTTTTCTTTTAAGGTGTGCGTGTGTGTGGGTGGGTGGAAGGGGTGGGGGTCTTATCTAAGCGCCGCAGGTAGAAGCCACTTGTGTTGAAAGAATCCAAAGCTTACGCTCTGACCCAGCCAGGGTCCTCTATCGCCATGGCAACACTCGTCCCCTGGCTTCGGGAACTCATTAGCCGCAATCTCGGCCCCCGCCGCCCCACCAAGTTCCACCACCATGAACCTCCTGACGAGGCAACGTTGTGAATATATAACGATCTTTTTACGGGGGGGGGGGTCCGCACTTCAGACCCGCAATAGCGGCGTATGATCCGCCTGAGAAACGACAAATTCCAATTGATCGGTCGCTGTCCTTGACCGACGCGACGGAGCCGACCGACCCGACCGTAAGCAACGGTGAGCGCGCGTCCGCCCGGCCTTTTCAATCGCATAAAAGGACGAGATGGCTGGGCGAGTAGTCGCCGTGACAACCACCTGAGGAGGACACGTGCCCGGTATGCCGCGGCGCTGCGCTAACAGTCTGAAATCAGTGGCATCCTACGGATGGAATGATGACCAACAGGTGTGCCGCTGTAGAAGGAGCCCCACATAACCTCCCGTCGGTCCCAAACAGATCAACCGTGACAATAACGAGAATGAAGAAAACTCAAATGCTTGTACAGTTAAGTTGTGAATTTCAGGCAGAATATTTGACTGGCTTGTCCACTCATATTTGTGGAACTATGAAAGGGAAAAATGGAGAATATTTGAATGTCATTATCTCCGTGTTATCTGTTCATGTTTTTAAAAAGGGCAAATTATGAGGAAAAAAAGGCAGATTTTTGCCGATTTTTTTATTATTTTTTTTTTTTTTTTAAATCGGTTGGCCAATTACTTGGTCGAGCCGTACTTTCTCCATTTAAAACATTTTCTTTTGTACGTTTTGCTTTTTCGGACATTCACGTTTTGCTCTGCTAAAGTGGCAT